TCCCACCATTAAAAAAAAAAAAAAAAAAAAAAAAAAAAAAAAAAAAAAAAAAAAACCTTAGAATACTCAACCAGCTCAACACGAAAAGGGAGCCAATACGGATGCAATTTATGCATTTAAACATGGGAATCCACACAAACGCATGATATTTAACAATAGATGATAGGTTTCCTTGTGTGGTACATGCATTTTTAATGTCTACTACTCGAGAGATCCATGACATTTCTCTATTTTTGTTTAATACAAGAAAAATGAGAAGGATAAAAGAATGATGTTTTTAGATGATCCAATTTAGGTTGGGTGTTGTAGGGTTGACCATAGTCACACTGGTCGAAAAATTTTGTATTGAAAATCTCATAAGAGAATCTGGGAAATAGAGAAAGAAGTAGAGGAAGGTGAATCCATAAATACCATTTGTATTGATGAGACTAGAATGTCTTTTTGTGCAATTACCATAAGAACTTTTTCAATACTGAAGAATTTAACTCTTTGGCACTATAATATTTTTCTTTTGACATTTTTTGTAGCGCAGATACTCACAAAATATTTCATATTCAATTATATACTTATGCGACTTATGTTTTGGGATAAGCAAATGAATTTTTGGATGTGCCATCATATTAACATTGAACTGTAACATATACTTGACAATAGTTAAATCGTGAACCAAGGCCCACATTAAAAGGTGAACCCTAGTCTAAAACGATAGTGTTTCAGCTGTCATAATTAACGGGGTATCGTTTTTTAGCATTAAGCTTTGAGTTTATAAACATATAGTGTCTAGTTTCTGAACATTAAACTTTAAATTTCTCAACATATATAAGGCATGTTATGAACATGTAACAGAGTGAATGTTGTAGTGTCTAATTGAACATATAGTGTCTAGTTTCTGAACATTAATCATTGAGTTTTTGAACATATATATAGGTGAAATGAAAAAAATAAATTAAAAATTTTGACAAAAAACAATGTCATTTTGAACCAAGGTTCATATTGCAAGGTGAACCCAAATCCAAAATATAATATGCATATACTTGAAATGAAGGCTTAAAATAACCACCACTCATATAATTATATCATTGTGAAATATGCAATTTTAGTCCATCAATTGTTCATTTCTAGTTATTTTAGTCCATAACTTTTTACCATGGCAATATACACTCCTAACTCTTCAAAAAGGAATAAGGTTCAAATTGGCCACTGAACGTAACCTGAAAATGCAATTAGGCCACTGAACGAAAAAAAGATGCAATTAGACCACTGAACGCCCAAAAACGTGCAATTAGGCCACTGAACACTCCAAATGTATGCAATTTCACCGGATAGCAGGTTACCATCAATTTTAGCAGGTTACCTGCTTACGTGGCAGCTGAGTTGGCATTTTTAATAATTTTTAATAACTTTTAATAATAATTTTTTTATAAAAAAAAATTGAAAAAAAATAAATTAATTAATTAAAAAAATTAAATTTGTTTTAAATAAATTTTTTAAAAAAACTTTATTATTAAACTTTATAAAAAATTATTTAAAAATTATTAAAAATGCCAACTCAGCTACCATGTAAGCAGGTAACTTGCTAAAATTGATGGTAACCTGCTATCAGGTGAAATTGCATACATTTGGAGTGTCCAGTGGCCTAATTGCACTTTTTTTTCGTTCAGTGGCCTAATTGCATTTTCAGGTTACGTTCAGTAGCCAATTCGAACCTTATTCCCTTCAAAAAAGTTGCATTTTTAACCCCTAGAGCAACAAAACTATTAAACTCTATTAAAATTTTACTAAGTACATGAATATTTTAAAATTTTATTAGCGTTGTTCTTTATTAGTTTTGGCATTTCATCTGCAAAATAGGGATTTGACAACATTCTTCGCTAAATTTTTCTTTTCAATTGTGGCACACCATCCATATTTTCCCTATATGACCTTGTTAAAATCATGATTTTTATTTTATATTACAAATGAAATATCAAGACTAAACAAGATTATAATTAAAGAAAAAATATTAAAAAGTATTAAAATATCAATGCACTAAGTAAAATTTTAATAGAGTTTAATAGTTTTATTGTTCCAATGGTTAAAACTATAACTTTTTTGAAGAGTTAGGGTAAATACCACAAAGAAAAAAAAAAAAAAAAAAAAAAAGGACTAAAACCGCTAGCAAAGAACAATTGAGAGACTAAAATTGCATTTTGGGATAAGCCAAATGAATTTTTTATTTTGTCATCATATTAACATTAAATTGTAAATATACTTGACAATAGTTATATCGTGAATCAAAATCCACATTGCAAGGTGGACCTTAGTCTAAAACGACAGTGTTTCAACTGTCATGATTAATATGGTGTCGTTTTTTAGCATTAAGCTTTGAGTTTATAAACATAATAGAGTTAATTCCAGCAATGGTCCTCCGACTATATTGATTTTCCAAAATTAGTCCTTGACTTTTAATTTGGACACTTTAGGTCCCTTGACTTTTAATTTCTTTCCAATTGAGGTCCTTTCGTCAGAATATGGTTAATTGAATTTTAAATGAAGGGGTAAACTCGTCATTTCACATGCCTATGTATTATTCTTAGTATTTCTCCATTGTATACGCGATATATATGAAGATAATCTTAGTCGAAACTCTAAAATGTTCCTCGTCGTTCCCCATTTGCTGACTACTTGCGTGTGCGTTCCTTTATTATTGAGATGCTTACAAGGTATAACAGCGAAATACGAAGGGAGAAATACGAAGAATAATACATAGGCAGGTGAAAGGACGAGTTTACCCCTTCATTTAAAGTCTAATAAACCGTATTCTAACGAAAGGACCTCAATTGGAAAGAAATTGAAAGTCAAGGGACCTAAAGTGTCCAAATTAAAAGTCGAGGACTAATTTTGGAAAATCACTATAGTCGGAGGACCATTGTTGGAATTAACTCAACATAATATTTAATTTCTGAACATTAAGCTTTGAGTTTCTAAACATATATAAGGCATGTTATGAACATGTAATAGAGTGAATGTTGTAGTGTCTAATTCAACATATAGTGAACATTGAAATGAAAAAAATAAAATAAAAAATTTGCAAAAACGTCATTTTGAACCAATGTTCATTAAACCTTAATTAACAATATAATTTGCGTATACTTGAAATGAGGGCTTAAAATGACCACCACACTTATAATTAAATAACTAAATTTATTATTATAACACAAATTAGACAATTGAGAGACTAAAAAGATTATTTTTCCTTTTATTTTATTAATTATTACTATAACTGTTAAGTTCTTGTACAGTCTAGAATACATTAGCATGACAGCCATCTTAAAGTGTATTAGTATATATAAAACAAGTAAAAGGTAATTATTTAAATAAAAAAATTAAAAAAAAAAAAAGGTAATTAAACTCTTTCATCTTTATATGTAAAAATAAATAAATAAACCATGTTACAAATAACTAGACTAGGCGCATGATATACATAACTAGGGTCCGTTTGGAAAGTAAGAAAATGACTTCTAGAAAATGATTTTTTGAAAATGAGTCATTTTTCATAAGTCATTTTCCTTTCCGGTGTTTGACTGCACAATGAAAAAATGTCTTTTGGTGTTTGGCTCATTTTCTGGAAATGATGTAGAATTGTATAATTACACATTTTATATAAGTAATTATTTTGTTTAAAATATATAAAATTTACAATAATAATATTTATTTTTAAAATCAAATTATATTATTTATTAAAAAAAAAACAAAAAATGACGAAAATCAGAGAGTACAATAGTCTCTGGTTTCCGTCGTTCTCTACTTCTCTCTGGTTTCCGGTGGCCAGAAACCAGAGAGCAGTACTTACTCTCTGGTTTCCGGCCGGAAACCAGAGAACTCTCTGGTTTCTGCGGCCGGAAACCAGAGAGCCAATTTCTGGTTTCCGCCGACTTGGATTTCCAAGTTGGAAACCAAATTGGTTTCCGACTTGAAAATTCAAAATTTGTGTTTCCCCTTGGTTTTCCGATAACAAGACAAAATTGAAGAAGTGATGTCGAGAAGGAAGAAGCGGAAAATGACTTCCCCTAAAAAAAAAGAAGTCATTTTCCATAAAAATGGCTCTATTTTCCATTGACTTTAGTGTTTTCCTACTTACCAAACACTCAAAACTCGGAAAATGATTTTCAGAAATCATTTTCCGAGTTTCCAAACACACCCAAATTTGATTCAAATTACTATATAATTTATTATATTTAATATATTTCGGCTTTTTTGCTTTCAAAAAAAAAAAAAAAAAAAAAAAAAGTTTGATTCAAATTACTTATAATTTAATACATAAAATGAGCAAATATGAATTTTAGTCCCACGAGTATTAGCAAAATGATAGTTTTGATCCACGTATTTAATTCTTACTAATTTTCATTCACGACTATTATTTTAGTACTAATTTTTATCCATGACTATTATTTTAATGCCAAAATTCACTAGGCCGGTCACTACTCCTTTTAAGACATGCCAAAATCTAAAATTTTTAAAGGTATTTTCATCCTTTTCAACTTAAGATTCCTACTTGAACATGAATAAAGAGATTTAAACTCTAAGATCGGTCTCAATTCCCATTTCTCCTCCTCATCTTACCTTAATTTGAAGAGGAGAACTGCAAATTGAAATCGATTTCAGAGTTTAAATCCATTTATTTATGCTCATATTCGGATCTTAATTTGAAAATGACGAAAATACCCGTAATAATTTTATATTTCAACATGTATTAAAGGGATGACCGTCATGATGAACTTTGTTTTGGCACTAAAACAGTAGTTGTAAATGAAAATTAATACTAAATTAATAGTCGTGGATAAAAATTGGTAGAAATTAAATATATGGACCAAAACTATCATTTTACTAATACGTGAGACCAAAATTTGCAATTGCTCTTTATAAAATTCATATGTTTAAAAACTGCATTAAAAGTTCAATTATATTCATTTAAAAAAACAAACAAACAAACAAAGAGTTAATTTAAAATATACATAGTATAGACAAGCAAAATGATACGGGGAGTACACATCAATGCATCAACGAGTTATTGCTACAAGATAAGATACATAAATGAGACACTAAACTAAAACCCAAGTGCGAATACTGATCTTGCAAAAGGGTATCCAGTCCTACAAAACCAACCTAGTTAATTACCTAAAAAGGTTAGTTTAATACATCAATGTAATATGAGGTCCTCGGAGTATAGTGATTTTGTCATATTTAGTCTTATATTTAGTCTTAAATTTTCAAATTGATTACCCATGGTCCTTTGACTTTCAAATTGTTACCATCTGTGGTCCAAGGAATTACCCATGATTCTTCAACTTTCAAAATTTAACCAGCCCTAACCCTAGAAAGACCAAGACTAGTTAAATTTTGAAAGTTGAAAGACCATGAGTGGTTACTTGGACCACGGATGGTAACAATATGAAAGTCGAAAGATCACAGGTGGTCAGTTTAAAAGTTTAAAACTAAACATAACAAAATAATTATACTTAGAAGACTTCATATGGTATTAACTCTTTTTAAGAGTGCTTTCTTCTATAATTTACCTACCTATGTTCCAAATCACAGTAGAGAACAACCTTTGCCTTCACCTTCACCTTGTGAACTTTGGGTTCTGTACTTGTGTCCATCTTGTTTCAACATCAACTATATGCCTAATTGCATGAGAATATGAGGCAGAATAAGGTTCAGAACATCCTTGACAGTTTTGAAGCAAACAAAACACAGAATAAAATGGCATCAAACACTTCAATGCAAGTTTAGAAAATCATCCTCAAATATCTCAGAGGCACAATAGCACATGGAGCTTCTAACAAGAAGAAATTAATTTAAACTCATATGCAATTAATTTAAACTCATATGCAACTATCACCCAATCCACACATCCATTATCTGAACATCTGGTTAACACCAGCAAACCAAAAATGTACTACTGGTAAATTTCCATTTAAGGAGCAGACAAAAGTCACACTTCATACCAAAGATAAGAGAAATTGATGGCCGTATTTAATTCAATGAAGTTAAATCAAAAGATTTTTGCTTTAGAAGACAAAGGTAAATACATAACATGTTGATACTCTAGGCAAATAAGGCTACAGAAAAACAAAACAAAACAAAACAAAACAAAACAAAACAAAAACAAAAACAAAAAAAACAAAAAAAACAAAAAAAAAAAGACTTAAATGTAACACTCCAAACATTTAACAAAATAATACACGAAGAAAACAAATGGCAAAATCTTAATATTACATTTCAAGTGTTGGCCTTTAGAGATCGCTCCACATATGCCTGCAAGAGAATAAGAGAGGTTTAGGATGTGGTCTGCATATCCAGAAAGGATGAGATCAGTGCCAAACATAATAAGAATTTTAAAACATTCTTAGGAATGTCTCAAGACCAGAAAATTATTTCCTCTTACCCCTCTTGTTTTCCCAAACAGACACCAGATCATATGCAGCAGATTAATTTTATTTTCATTTTTTTTCAGGGAAAGGTGGGGAACACTTGAATGATGCAGCTATGAGCCAACCCTCGTTTTTATTTCTCCATTGAGCTCTCTTTAGTGTGACTTTGGGTGCAGCCCCTTTTTCTTAAAACATCTAACCAAGTTTTTCTTTGTCAACCCCTATCTCACCTAAATCCTACTACTACTACTACTAAACAGTGCATCTATAGGACCTACACACTGAACATGCCCAAACCATCTTTGAACTATATTCAACTTAGGGTGCGTTTGGAAACCTAGAAATCATTTTCCGGGTTTCCAGTGTTTGGCTAGAGGGGGAAAATGGAAGTCAATGGAAAATAGAGGAGATTTTCCGGAAAATGACTTCCCCTTTTTTTTGGGGGAAGTCATTTTCCGTTTGCCGCAGTGGAGCAGCCAATCACCCGCCGCCGCCGCCACCACCACCACCACCACCATTGTATATTTTAAATATTTAAAATTAAAAGTAATTATGCTCATTTTTTCAAAAGATGAACCAAAGACACCAAGACAGTTCTTTGGAATGCAACCAAACACTGGAAAGGAAAATGTTTTCTGGAAAATGACTCATTTTCCAGAAGTCATTTTCCTGCTTTCCAAACACACCCTTAGCTTCCATTTCTGCCATACTTCTAATGTAATCATTTTTAAAATGATCCCCTGAGTGAGTTTCATTAAAAAAAAAAATATCAAAGGATTTTAAACTTCAATGCATTAATCAAGAAATGAAACTAAATTACCTGTGCCAGTTTGTTAATTTTGGCTTTGGAATTGGACAGATATTGCTCAATTTTGTCTTGTGTTTTAGGGAAATGATCTCCTTGAATACTGCCTGTCACTTTATCAACCACCTTCTTAACAATAGTCTTGTGTACTTCTCTGCTCATCCGACCTTCTTTCCAAGTGGGCTTCAGGATCTCCTTAACAAACTCTATAAGAGAATTCTTGAACAACCGGATCACCTTATCATCTTTGTTACCATTTACCTCTTCATCCTTGCTGTGGCCATTGGCATTATGGGAATTCTTATTTTCTTGCCCATCGTCGCATTCTTTGGCAACTAGTTTATTGTTTCTCTTTACTTCTGATTTTGCAACAGCCTCCTGTAGCTTCAAACATAGATCCTTGGTGTACTCCACATTTGAATCACCAAATTTATCTATGTTTCCATTTTCAGAATTCAAGGCAGATAATTCATTTGATTGTTTAAGAGAAACACTAGTTTCCTGTTTATCCAAATAGGAAGCATTGGCAGCTGGCATTACATAGTTGCCAGGTGTACCCCACTGAAATCCATCACTATGGGCATGACATAGATCTGGAGTATTTATAATTGGATTAGGCTGGGTATACACAGCATTGTATGTGGGAAGTAGTTCAGAGTTGGAATCAGAAGGGACAACTGAAGGAAGAACTGCATGTAGTTGAGATTTTGCTGGCTCATGCTCAAATTTCTTGGTGAGAGAAGCCAAAGAACCATGCAGTTGACTTGTTTGCAAACTGAATATAGCACCAGAAAGATTTTGCAGGGCACTTAACTCTAGCACCTCCGGTCTGGTGGCAGCTTCTTTCTGACAGCTCTGTCTGATCTCATTTGACCTAATGCCATGTCCATTTGAAGGGATAGCATGCAGCCTAGCCTCACCTTGGGCAGCTCCATCCAAAAATGAAGAATATTCAGAGCCTCGGCTAGCCATTTCACTAGTTTCATTAAAGCTTTGTTCAGGCAATGAAACTGGATGGATACTCTGTCTAGAGTTGTTTAAATCATTTGACACATTAGAGATAATTGTCTTGCCACTGTCCTCAAAAGGATATGACTGAAAACGATTTGAAGATAGACAAGGCTGCATGACTTTGGTGGAAAGAATGATGCCTGAAGTTTCTTTCATTGTGTCCAGCCTTTCACCATGAATTGAACTTCCATTCAAATTTCGGAATTGTGAAGCTTGAGAAAGTATATTATTTTCTTCATTGTTGGTTAAATTTTCCAGAATAGATTCAGAAGTCTTTGCTGCTATAACATTAGGAGTAGCATCTCTTCCCTCGCAGGAAGCAGTATTTTGCCAGATAGCTCTCTCATTTTCTAAACTATAGGTCCATCTACTATTGGTCTGATCAACAGATACAGTAACTGTAGGATTTGTCCTCAAAGCAGTGTCATCCCACTCACTATTCTTCTCAAGGTTTGAGGCCCTAGCTGTATCATCCCACACTGGTTTATTCCACAGCTTGTTTGTGTCAGCAATGCTATGATCCCCAATATGATTAAGTCTATCAGTATCAACTGCACCTGAATTGTCTGATTTTGCAACATTCTCACCTCGCCTAGAAGCCCTCACGAAGCTTGAGTCCATTTCTGCATCATTCCATTTTGGGCAAACCCAGCTGTCACTCTTCTCATCCAATCTGTGGCCACCTATGTCATCAGAGGGCCTCATTTCAACATTGCTAGGTGTAGGGCCATCGTGAGAAAATTTGCAGTTTTCACTATAGCACTTTCCAGCCACAAAATACTTGCACAAAGGTTTACTAGTTTTACTTGGTTCATGCTCCCGATCATAATCAGAGGATGCATTCCTAATGCTACTATCATAGTTGTGACCAGAAGTACCAGAATGAGAAAATCTGCATGATGCTCCCCAGCGACACTTACCTTTGACAAAATCCTTGCAAGGAATCATACTTCTGTTGTTCCTGGGGTGTTCATGCTCTATATTATAGGCATCAGGAATCTTACCCCGAAAATGGACTTCAAGTGCTTCAGTATCAGCATATCTTGAGGCATCTCCATTCTCATTCCTGCTACCCCATCTTTCAGACAAGTTGTACTCTGACGAATATCCATCCCTGTTCTTGAAGTTATCTGGATGAAAGAACCAACATTCACCACCCCTCCTACACTTCCCATTGGCAAAATCTCTACAGACCTTAGATGACATTCGAGATCCTATCTGTCTATCATCCCATCCATATGGATCACCTTTGTAATTTGGAGGAGAACTACTTCTACTCCTGCCTCTTAAATTTCCCTTGTCCCTGCTCCTGCTTCTACTTCTACTCCTCCATCTTCTGTCCCTACTCCAGCTGCGGCTTCTGCTTCTGCCTTTTGCCCTTCCAGGACTCCTGCTCCTGCCTCTTCCTGGATGCCTAGTAAACAATAGAAAGTTACAAGATTACTCTAAAACAAGTAAAAGAACTTCAGAAAACCCAAAGGACAGTGCACTATCTCGCTCAACAAAACACTAGGCCTGTTTAGTCCGCCTCAACTTTTTCCACTTTTTCAACTTTTTTCAATTCTCATTTTCCAAAAAGTATGGATTCCACTTGAGGTGAAAGGGGGGGGGGGGGGGGGGGGGGGGGTGGCGGTGTGATTACTGATAAACATGGAAGATCTATTTCCCAAGTTTTCCTACTTCCATTGCAAAGTTGGAAATTTTGGAAAAATGTTTTCCATTTCCAATTATTTTCTATTTTCCATCTAAACATGTTTCCATTTTTTCCTTTTTTTTCCCCACATTACTGAACAGGCCCTAAGCCCCTACGTTTCATAAAAATTCTATATGTTACTGAACAGGCCCTAAGCCCCTAAGTTTCATAAAAATTCTATATGTTTTCCACTGATATTATTCCAGAATGAATGTTTAAATATAAATAGAACAAAAATAGGCATTTATAAGTGAAATCATAACATTGTTTATAGGTAATCAACCGAAAAGATGCATCATATGAGAACACAGTCGCAGACCTGCGAGACTGACTCAAACCATGTTCAGGGAACTGGCTATTCCTTAGCTGCCTCCGTCCATCAAAAGTTGGAGACATGTTTTCATGATAAAACTTTTCCCTTTTATGCTCCTCAGTTTCTGGAAGTCGCTCTACATCTTTGCTGATCCTTTGACTTGTTTGCAGAAGACTATTTTGTGGTGAGTGGTTCCAGCCAGAATGCCGTTTGGATGAATTATCAGTTTTTGAAGAAACCTGCTCCTGATAACTTCTTCCATCATGACTGGGATAGTCACACTTCCCAACCCATGCATTTTTGGCATTCAACTCATGACGAGAGAAATTTTCTTCAGTGTCCCACATAGATCTGCGCTTTCTCACACTTTCACCCATAACACCCTTGTTTACAAGCATCAGTGATATTATCTCCCCAAGTACAGCATGATCTGAAAGACCACGGGGCAACATGATTACATTAAGTAACAGAGTACTCGTATTCCTGCTTTCATTCCATAATATGCCCCAGATTAAGCACATCAAAGTACACATACAGTCATACAGAGACGAACTAATAGCAAATATGATGACGCTACAAAGTATATATTACAAGGAAGAACCAGTGCAGTGCCAGTTGGTAAGCCGCAACAAAGAAGCTTGTGCCTAATTCCTATTCCAGTGTTTGGCTTCAAGAGCAACTGAAGTTTTTAACACACAGAAAAGTACAGGCACATCTATGAGAATTAGGGAGATAAACAAACCAACAGCATCTTTAATATACCTGTACGGCTGTACCCAGCCTTATAATGATTGGATAGTTCATAATAGAAGTATTTTCTGCTAATAGGCAGCAATAAAGAAGCTTGTCCCAATTATATTCCAGTGTTTGGCAACAAGAGAGAACATAAGTGTTAGGCAGACAAGGAAAAAAAAAAAAAAAGGCAAATCTATGACTTTATGAGAAATTGAGAAGATTGCAATCACAACTTAGACAAAAGCATCAAGAATATATCTTTGCTCAGCCTTATAATACTTGGCACTTTGCAGTTAATTTTCTACGGTTTCAAAAGCGTCCAGGTCACTTGTTATTTATTGCATCACAATTTAGACCAGAAGCATCAAAAATACATCTTCACTTAGAATTACCAGGATTGGAGATTTCACAATCAACTTTTCATGGTCTCAAAACTTCCAGGTCACTTATTGCTATTATTCCATCAAAAGCATAACATTCCAATATAATACCATTTTTTAGCTAATGAAGGTCAACTTCAGTAGACCTCCAGGACGCACAATGTGTTAAACTATGTTGCCATCATAATGTACCAATGTGTTTTTCATACATATGAAGTATAATAAAGTTGAATGGCACACACTTAGTTCAACCATCTTAGCTACACCCAGATAGCTTAGTCTGGGAATACAATAAATCGCCTTTACAAGACAAAGTCACCATACTACCACAAAATCACAATTTAGAAGACACATCCCCCTTCAACAAACCAAGCATCTATGGCCACATTTTTTTTTTTTGGAAATAACTAATTCATTAATCATAAATAGGAACGTTTACAAATTACAACAAAGCTTGATGGAATAGCCATTCTTTACAGTCTGACACAGAAACAACTTCCCTAGCCAAGCTAGGGAAAACTTGATTCGCAGATTGTTTCACAAATTGGAAGATGGGATCCTTGAAGGAATTTAATGCTTCTTTAGAGTCATTAATGATCTGGCCAAACATAGACAAAACTAGTTGAAAAGACTTACACAACAAATAAACACTCCCTGGTACTAGTACTTCTTGTAGCAAACTAAAAGGCCTCTTGAATAGCTATAAAGCAAAATTGATAGTCCCTACTCCCCAGGTATAGTGGATTCATCCAACTGCCCAATCTATAGTGTGAGCATTAGATGAATGACTATAGCATGACTATACTTATGCAAAAGAATATACTTCTTGAGCTGACTTAGCAGTTTCACTGACTATAGTATGAACATGAGATGACTTACAAGTTCTTTCCAATAAAAAACTAGCAATAAGAATATAGTTTTTAATGAAGGGATCACTTATAGCTGTGGCTGTTGTGGTTTACTGTAACTATTATACGTGACTCAACTCCAGGAGTCCAGGCACATATCTCAACTTTCTTTCTTGACTTGATTGGAGTTGCAACTCTAGGGAATTTATTTATGTTAATTGACAATGTAGTAAACCAAACTGCTTTTCCCGATGAACCTTTTTCCCAAATCAGCTTCTTCTCCAAATTAGTTGGAAGAATAGCAAGCCAGAAGCCCAGAAGTACTCAAGCTTATCAAGGCGGACTCTCTAGGCAAGATGCCGTCGACAGCAGTTACAGAGTAATATATATATTACTCTGTAAATAAGGAAAAAGGAAGCCACTATGGAAAAGAAGAAAGAAGAAGAAAGCAAGAAAGAAGGGAAGCCACTCGGCATAAGAAGAAAGAAAGAAAGAAGAAAGAAGAAAGAAGAAAGTTGAATACCAGAGACTCGGCGGAGCTGGAAGGTCGGTGAGTGGTGGTCGGCGACTCGGCGGAGCTGGAAGTGAGTGGTGTGCGATTTGCAAAATGAGATGCAAAGAGATGTTGCAAACTTGCGATTTGCAAAGCTGCCTACGGTTTTAACTCTTAATCACTTCCTTCTTTTGTTTTTTTTTTTAACATAAACCCGGTTCGAAGCCGGGATAGGCATCCCAGGGCGTCGCCTGGACGTCTAGGCGATGCCCGAGCTCGCCTCGCCCATTTTAGGCGAGGCGAGCACATTAGGCGTTCGGTCTTGACCGACCGAACACCTAGGCGTCGCCTAGGCCCCTCCTTGATAACAATGCAAGTACAAGAAGATTCACTTCCTTTCCCTATGTTACTTTTTCCAAATCTGCTTCTTCTCAAAATTAGTTGAAAAAATTGGCAACCACAAATTAATGGGCTACGAGGGCAGGTGCTAGAAGGCCAACGTTGCCCAATCCTTGAACTCATTAGTACCTATCTAGACCAAATATTGTAGACCTTGGGCCTTAACCCCTACAAAAGATTGAAGAACACCAGAAGATAATAATTTAGCCTTGACTGTTTGAATTTGACCCCTACCTAGCATGGCCATAAACAAATAAAATAAAGGGGTAGACCCCACTATCAACTGTTCTGAACGCAACACATCATGCAAGAGAATCCCATCTGGTGGGCCACCAATTACATTATGAGTATGACTCAAGAATATATGGATGACTGGATGTGTGGGATTTCCTCTCCCTAAGAAATTAGGCCTTTAGGATCAATTTGGTCAAAATTCAGTGACAGCCACTCTCTATCATCCAATTACTTCACATCCTCTTCTTCTGCTCTTCAGGCAACACAAGCAAAAGGCTATCAGTTAACTGCATGTTTTAGGTCTCCTGAAGCACAAAGTGAGAAGTTGAAGCATACTTCATTAGATTTTTTTTGCTATTAGAATTGTTTGACTTTGACCAATTGTAAGTTCGTAACTGTATGTGAATGCAAGTACTACTTCTCCTGCAAAGTTTGGATCTCCATCACTCTGTTGCTCTCTTCTTTTCAAAATATGTATACTACTCTCCAGAACACTGAAGTGAGGTGTATGTTCAGGGTCAAAAGTACAAAATTATGTGCACAGCTGAACTGTGCTTTACTAAGCTTGTTGTTTGATTGTAATATGGCTGTATGGTTACCACTTCAAAAGGTTTTGAGAATTTTAGTAGGGACAAGTTGCCCCACAACCAGTAAGACTATCCTCTTATGGATGCATATCACAATCATCATCCACTGCATATATCTCAAAATCTGGTATGATTCCCTCCCTCTTTCAAGTAGGAACCTCCTCGTCTGTTGCATGTTATTCTCCATGCAATTCTTCTATTTCTATCTCTGAAATTGCATGTGGTGCATTGAAATGAATTAATTTATTTGTGGCAATTGCCATGACTTTCAAATTTTCTGCAATTTGGTTTATTAGTTGAAAATATGAAATTTCTGGAATATGATTTCATTATATGTTGGATGTCGTTTTGTCAGTTTGCAGAAGTATTCAAAATATAATGGTAATATGTGCTGTTTGGATCTCAAGTAGTGAACTTTACACTTCAAAGTACTATCATTGACCCCTTTAAAAGATGTGCATTTCATATCTTATATCAAATAGCCACTAAATGTCAAGAAATTATAAAAATTATTTAGCTAGAGCACTGAAAGAAACTCATCATATAGAACCTGAACTGTTTATAATCAAAACCCAATTTACTCTTAATTAGAAGCTGCAATATCCACGGTTATTTGTTTCAGCATTTACGAACAGCAAAGTCCAGATATTGTCCACTCATAAAATCACATAATTTCTTCCTTGCACTTAAAGCAGTTCAACTACTTTAAACTGCCTTAATAGTGCTTCATTAGCATTATTAAACTCAATTTAGGAATTCAACCCCATAGTTCTTGCACCAAAAGCAGTCCAACCACATCAAACTGGTTGAAGCTGGGTTCAACACTTGAGCCTAGTAGTAAGCCAGTAAGCCAAACCACTGTCTAAGCATTTAGCCTGGGTTCAAATCCTACCTCCAGTTCCTCTAGTATGAACCCGAAAAAGATATACACAACACAAAATTCTCTTAACTATGATCATCAATTGAAAATTCACTGATACAGAATCATATTTTCAAAAAAATTAATTTTGAAAAAAAAAAAAGGCTAATAAACGAAGTTAAGAACATATTTTTATCTGCTTCTCCGGCATACAAACACGGACAGTTAGGTTATTAAGAAAATAAGAACTAAGAAGCACATTATACAGGCATAGTGACTACAGTAGCAGAAAAGTGAAGCTCAAAGTGATAAAACGAACATGAAAATCCCTACGGCGCAAGAAACACATACGTAAGTACATAGATACAGTCCAGTTGGACCAGTTGTACACACAACGAGAGAGAAGCTGACCTGTGGTGATAGAGAGGGTTGAGAGAGAGAGATCGAAGGCATAGAATACGGGTTGTTTTCCTCCGTTTTCGCTGTTCTTATGGTTTTCCGCAGAGAAGCTGATTGAGAGGGTTTTGTAGAGTTGAGAGTGCGGTGTGGGTTTGGGTATTGACCGACTACAGCACAAGTCTTCGCAGCCTTACTCTTAAACGCCGAGAGAGAATAGATTTGCTGGATTTTGGATTTTTGGTATCTAGTCTAGTTAATTTGTCATTTTGTTTTTGAAAAATACTACATATACTTTCACTCTTTAGTTTTAACTTTTACTCTTAGTTGAGTATTTTAATAGGTTTTTGTATATAATTACACAAGATAAAATAGGAGAGAATTGAAAAAAAAAAAAAAAAAAAAAGAGAGAGAGAAATGTCTCTATCGCCAAGCATCTTGTATGGCATGTAGTAACCTCTTTCATGTGGAAGGTCATGATATCGAGCCTTAGTGGAGGCCTTGTTGATTCTTTGTGCTTCATTAGGTTGAGAAAGTATGTTTGAACAGATACTACAGTGTAATAGAGCCAGTAGCATTCAAAAAAATTGTTGATTCTTTGTGCTTCATTAGGTTGAGAAAGTATGTTTGAACAGATACTACAATGTAATAGAGCCAGTAGCATTCAAAAAAAAAATGTCTCTAACGTACTCGCTGGCGCGCCACGCACACCTTAGGTGAAACGAATCCTCTCCTCTACAAATGTAATTAATGAATTATAGAATCATAATCTCTCAGTAGCATTCAGAAAAAGTGTCTCGTACTCGCTGGCGCGTGCAGTGTGCGTGCTTGATAGGCGCGCCACGCACACCTTAGGTGAAATGAATCTTCTCCTCTATAAATGTAATTAATGAATTATAGAATCATAATGTAAAATAAAGAATCAATGGATTATTGGGAATTGGTACGCACCTATTGCAGTGTTCGTTGTTGACAGCATGGTGGAGAAGCGGCTGGGCAGACGACGTAGAAGACGGACGGATGGAGCTTCGACGCAAATGGACAACAAGCAAACGACGGAGTTCGCGGAGGAGGGCAGACGACGTAGAGGACGAATGGATGGAGCTTCGACGCAACTGGACAACGAGCAAACAACGGACTTCGCGGAGGAGGGCAGACGACGTAGAGGACAGACGGACGAAGCTTCGACGCAAGTTTGCCCAGGGCTGGCACACAGGGACCCCAAATTTTGGGGGCCCCTGATTTTTTTAAAAAAAATAAAGTATATATATATACTACAGTTGCGGCGTTCGAACAACTCAACAAAGCAAGTAGTTGTAGCGACAAACTCAAACCCTACCCTAAATCCCTAAATCTTAATCTAGCAGCAGAGAACAGACATAGACACAAAACGACTGACAATTTCCCTAGGTAATTGAAGAAATTTTAATATTAAATTTGAGTTATTGACTATTGAGGCTGCTAATTCTTTAATTTGAGTAGTAATTTAATTATTAAAATATTTAATTTGGTTGTTTATTTGTATTTTTTATTAGAAATTCTACGCAACGCGCAGAAGTTGCGCAGAGCGAAATGCTTATGGGGCCTACATTTCAGACAAAAAACTCCATTTTAGTGTAAGGACCTCACTTTTTCTCTCACCTCACCCTCTCTCCTCCACCTCACTCAACATACCTCAAAAATTGGTCCTAAATTCCCTAATGGGGATGTTCTTAGAGCATCACATTTTGCACTATGTGCCATATAGGAGAGAGAGGATTGGGCAAGAAATAAGAGAAAAAGAAAAAAAAATGTGGGACTGACAAGTGACAACTCTGACCATAAAATAGAGAGAGAAATTAAAAAATAAAAATAAATAAAGTTTCCGAGCGCCCAGCTAATGCACGCACCAACTGAATGTATTAGTGCACCTGACGACTGACGTACATGCTGCATAACTCTCCAACCTTTTTTTTTTGCTTTCTCCTGCCAAAAACCAACCCTGGCAGGAGTAAAAAAAAACCCCTAAAAATCCACCTTCACTATTCCAAAAACCCCACACAAATCTATTGATATGAATGCTCTTAGTTGTGATTAATGTTTGTCTAGGCATTTGGTTATAATATTTCAAAGAGTTCATAATGTTAGGCGTTGCTTTAGTCGGGAAACTAGCTCAATAATGAATGTGATGTAGGCACAAAAGAATGATAAAATGGCATCTGATCATTAGTGTGATGATAAAAGAGGGGTGGTATGCATGGTATATTAAAAATTCCATTTTTGTGTGTTGGACAGAAAATTCCACTGGTGATGCTAAAACTGTGTATGCAGCAAAGCAAACGAGAAAGCAAAACGGGAATTAAAATGGAAGTAAGTGCTTGACGGATATAATAATCAAAACCCATAATTGGATACCTACCCTCTGGCTAACATTTAATTTTCAGGGCAAAATATGGGATTGAAGAGATGTGCATGCTAGTCACGTGCCATTTCATGTGCATCATACGCGTAGATGGTAGGGGACATTTATCTCTTGTCATTTGTTTAATTAGGATTAATATTTGATGTACGGATGCACTGCCGATGTATAGATGCTATACACTGGCGATGAAGGAAAACATCATTTAAAAACAAAATCAATATTAACCGGATACGTTTTTACAAAATATCTAAAATTTGTATTTTATTAAGAAACTCTTTTATTTCTAATTAAAAAAATATATTTACTTTTCTAAACATATATTCAATAATTAATTATTATTATTATTATTATTATTATTATTATTATTATTATTATTATTATTATTATTATTATTATTATATATTCCTACACATTTTAACTCACTGAATTATTATATTTATTTGGAAGCTCGCTATGCCGAACATGGTCCAAAATACTGGCAGTTCTACCTTCATAGATTGGCTGGATAAAGGCTTGAGCACGCAGTGTGCTATTTGCCATAATACTTTGGTGGCTTTGGAAATGGCGCGACGAGAGAATCTTCAATGGCAAGAAATCTAGGGACGGGCAGAAACTTTTCTGGCTGCATTCGCAACTGGCTGAGATCAACAGAGCCTTTGAGAACTCTAAGAACCCCGGAGCTATGAACAGGCAGAGGTGTTGGAAACTAATAAGGTGGTCCAAGCCTCCGGAGGGGTGGATCAAGGTAAACATTGATGGGAGCTATGACCCTATTTCAAACAAAGCTTGCTGCCGGGGCCTTGCTCGTAATGCCCACGGTGATTGGCTAAAAGGCTTCAGTTTTTACATAGGTAACTGCACTGCAGATTTAGCGGAAGCTTGGGCATCCAGCTGGCCAAATCTCTGTCTAAGAGCCATATTTGTTTTGAAAGCGATTCGAAGGTGCTAGTAGATGCAATTTGCCATGGCACCACCGTAGGAAACATGATGGACAACATTCTGAATGCATGCAGGAATGAGCTTAGCAGTTTTATGGTCTGGCAATTCGCCTTTATCCCAAGAGATGTCAATCAAGCTGCGGACTGGCTGGCCAAATCGCACTCTGGACGTGATCGATTTTCTCTGTTGGCTTCCCCACCAAATGAGCTCCTTCAGATTTTGGAGTTTGACAAATTTGGGGTCCCTGTTTGGCGCCAAGAGGCCAATTAGACTTTGTTTGTTTGGGTGTTCCCCTTCCTTCTGATCTAAAAAAAATATATATATATTATATTTAAGTAATTCATGTTTTGTGCAGACGAATGATTAGATAATATCATTTATAATTAAGAATTCTTTACTTAAATTATTATAATTAAGAATTCTAATTGCTAAGAACTGAATTTCTAAATTATTATATTTATTATTAAGAATTTATAAATTTTAATTATAAAAAATCATCTAATTTTCTATATCTATCTAAACTCCTAAATCTATTTAAACTAACCCCTAAATTCTTAAATTTAATATATTAATCACACGTGGGTTTTGATATTGACAGACTACCGCAGAAGTTTTTGTAGCCTTAGACTATCTTTATCCCTGCAAATCTCTCTCATTTGCTAAAACTAGTACTCCACCCGTGCGTTGCACGGTATGAAAATAAATAAAGAAATTCATAAATAGTTAAATAATATATATATATATATATATATATATATATATATATATATATATATATATATATATATATATATATATATATATATATATATATATATATATATATAGGTATATAGTTACACATAATTATACATATACGATTGCAAAAATAGTAAATAATTAGTAAGATCACCCAAATAACATGCAATTTATAACAAAGATTTAATAATATGTAGTTGTTATAAATTATTAAACACTTCTTTGTACACAACATTCATTGTTGAAGAAGCACACTTTTCATCTTCGTTGCAAATGAGTAACTTAAGCCCTCTTGGTGAACTGACTCTAGACAATGCAACATATAGCTGGCCATGTACAAAAACAGGTTTTCTTAGAAATAGGCCAACAGTAGAAAGTGTTTGTCCTTGACTTTTATTTATTGTCATTGCATAGGACAGCATAAGCGGGAACTGCCTCCTTTGAAATTTGAAGGGCAATGTACTGTCAGATGGTGTTAGGGACAGACGCGGGATCAGAACTTTGGAGCCTGCTGCATTGCCAAATAAGAGCTTTGCTTCAACAACGTGGTCTGCTAATCTTGTAATAATTAACCGTGTACCATTATACAACCCAGCTGAAGGGTCAATATTTCGCAACAACATAGCAGGAGACCCAATCTTCAATGTTAAGCAATGATTTGGTAACCCAGAACATTTTAGCCCGTTCAATAACTCCGGAGTGTGTAACCCAGCCACAACATCAGAGGTACTCTTAGTGGGGCAGACCGAATCAAAACTAAAATAGGTCCTACACTCAGCAACATTCAAGTTGGTCATGTACGCATTAACTTCGTCTACAACTTCAAGAGTTGGTGCCAAAATTGCTCGACTAATTAAATAATCAGCGTCATGTTGTTGTTCTCGAAACATAGGAAATGTACTTTCCGCAATTCCTTGGATTGGATCACCATTTGTATGCAACAAATTCTCATGTGGAATGAGAACCTCTACGTCACCATCATTTGGTCCACCAGCTTCACCATCACCGATTGAAGCAATCCAATTAGCAAAAGTAGATAACTCTTGCCTTTCATCATCAGTACCAACACTCTGCAATCTCAAATTCTGTGTCAATCTCAAAACCGTACAATGAGCCCACAAATACGAAGAATTAATAGCAGCACCAACAATATCCTGTCTACCAACCCTTGGTATCACTGGCAATATTTGGCGGAAATCACCTCCTAGTACAACAGTCTTCCCTCCAAATGGTAAATTAGGACATAATGAATTTGTAAATCGTAACAAATCTCGCATGGTTCTATCTAATGCTTCAAAACAGTGTTTATGCATCATAGGAGCTTCATCCCAAATAATTAAACTACATTTGATGATCAGTTCAGCTAAATCACTCCCCTGTGATATATTACACGTGGAATCCTCATTCACAATAATCGGTATTGCAAATTGTGAATGCGCAGTGCGCCCTCCAATCATTAATAATGATGCAATACCACTGGATGCCACATTTAGAACTATCTTGCGCTGTGATCGAAGTGCAGCCGACAAAGTGCGCTACACAAATGTCTTCCCAGTACCTCCATAACCGTAAACAAAAAACAAACCACCTGTTGTACCAGAAACAGCTCCGATAACTGTGTCGTAAACATCTCTCTGCTCGGTAGTTAACTTTGCTACCATGTCATCATGTTCATTGCTCAGCAATGCACAATCATATGACAATTCTTCTAACAGTAATCGATTATGAGAATTAGCCAAGCTAGACAATTCAGGAACGGGCATACACGGGTAATCCCCCAAACTCTTACTCCATGTCGCAAAAGTTTCTCTAATTCAAGCAGACCATACTCCTTCTTCACATCGTCTGGTAATAATAAATCTATATATAATTTTGAAACTAATATTAATGTTTAGTAGTATAGAAATGTTATAATCAATAATTATATCATACAATAGATAGTTTAATTAGGCATTTCGTGAATACAAATTTACCTGGATTTTGTAACTCTCGTCGCTGATTGAACTCTGCATCATCACACAGAAGTGGCCAAACAACATCCCAAATTTTTTCAGGTTGGCATAAACAATTAGACATTAACAAAGTCACGAATAAACGACGAAGAGCTGAGGCAGTGGACCAATGGCTTGCTTCAAGTATTGCATCAACATATTCCTTCTCATCACAAATCAAACCACGAGCATAACACGCATCACGGAAACATGAATATTGAATCCCATCAACATTGCGAATCTTTTCAAAAGATATTGGACCACGAACTAAATTCAATAAACACCTAAGATAGAAGATCTCACCAGTACCAGGTGGCACATAAAACATACGGCCTATAGCAAAACCACATCTTCTTGGTTGCCATTCACGTTCTTTTCTTTTCCACACAAAACAATGAGGCATTTCTCTATAGGTCAATTCCCTAGCTCGGGGATACCTCTTATTAGCTTCAAACCATGCTAAAAACATACTACTCTTAATTGTTTGTCTTTCAAGCACATTCTCAATAGATAAGTCATCATAAAAAAACAATGCTTTGTTCATTCGGCAGATGGAAGCTTAACCGTTCTACAGAGGGATTACGGAACTGGATGTCATAGCTGAACAAACGCCACACAGCTTCACACGGAGAAATATATCGGCAATCATAATACATATTAATCTCATCAATAACTTCACTACTATCTTCAGAATTAGTGCTCTTATAAAACTGGGCAGTAACTCGGTCATTGCCTTTGTTGACATATTTAAACAAATATTTTATTGACCGAGATTGACTACACCACTCAACATTAATGTGTGCTCTATACTTCAGTAGCAAATATCTATTGTGGGGCACAACAAATCTATTATCCAGCTCAACACCACTTTTCAGAATTGTCCTGCCATCATCCTTACGCCTGTAAATAGGGTAACCACTGGAATCAATAACTGAAGATTCTATAAATTTCTTTGGGAAGTGTTTTGAACAATGGTCTTTAACCATGCACGGAGATTTTTTGTTGGCAACACCACATGGACCGTGTATCATAAACTCCTCAACAGCTTGGTAATATTCTAAATCATCATCCATACTTGGAATCTCGGCTGAAATAATGGAATCGATATCATCACTGAGCGCGTTAGCATCAACACGATCAAGGAACAATAGTATGTGTGCATGTGGTAACCCGCGCTTCTGAAATTCAACAGTATAAATCACTGCAAACAAAAGCGGAAAGATAAGAAAGTGAATAGAAAAGTTAATACATCGCTAGCGGATTGTAGATTACAGACCTGCCAAAATTTTACCAAAAACAGTTCCTGAACGAAGCTCTCTTATTAAGCAATCCAATTTCATTTCAAAAACGCGGCACAAAATATCGGGCCGGTCTTCTGGTTTTAATAGCCTTTGCTCTAAAAAGCGTTGTATTTCTGGCCATTTTGGATTACATGTAAATGTAATGAATAAATTTGGATAACCAATCCAAACACAAATTGCCATTGCATCTTGATAATTTTGAACCATATACCGTGCACCACCCGTAAAGCTAGAAGGTAAAACAATTCGTCGACCTTGAGTTCCAGGTTCAATTTCCCCACGAGTCAATGCGTCAAACAAACCTCTATAAGATCCACAACGCAGACTCTATTGATGCGTACGGACATACAACAATCTCCCAGATTCCACCATCGTATACCCATCGACTAAAAATTGTTGGAACAATCTTTTCACAAATAGAAATGTTGAAATCGCACCACATCGTTCATGAATACGAAATGATAGGTATTCACGAAGAGAAATACTATGCCTTCTTCCTGTATGAATATTTTGTTCAACATTAAAAGGAATATCTTCTCTATAACCATCTTCACCATATGGAAACAGAATTGGATACTGAAGAGGGAGATATGCTGGATTAAGCTCACTAATTCTTTTTAGCACACCCGATCTTGTTTCTATCAATATATCTCGCTGACCCAACGTGGGATCCAGATCACCAACAATTATAGCTGCAACCTCTGACACTGTTGGCAAATTATATGTTTTGGCATCTTGGCTACGCTTCCCTATCAATTTCATCCTAACTTCCACAGTCGGATTGGTAACTATTGCATCGCGAGCCATCCGGAATGATTTTACCAGAACATTATTTTCATCCAATGTTAATTGAAGGTCAGCAACAATATCTTCATCTAGTTTGTTGAGATCATTATTCCCCCTAAAATTCAAAAGATATTGATATCACTTTATAATTATGTTTGTATAATTAAAAGAAATAATATTCATTAATAAGACATAATATACCTGGCAGAGTTCAATCGATTACACATCTCATTTTCAGGGTCATGAATGTATAATTGTGCAAATTTAAGTCGATTTCCTTCAATAGGTAACAAACTACCCAACAAATGAAAATTTTGTCAATTCAACCTAAAAATTGGAGGCGCTCTCCCTGTATTTACTTCTTTGTCAATACGACCTCCCGTAGATGTGAAGCTGAACATGTTATTATACGATCTTATATGCTGCAAAAAATGCTTGCTTCGTGCACACGGTTTGAAAAATAAGTCAAGAATTGTTTTTGGTGGAACGTTCAACATCGGCAACTTAATTTTTCCATTAGAGCAACAAACTGAATATCTCGGGCCACCATTCACTTTTACCTTCTTCAATCTCTCTTCCGACCAAAAATATGCACTACAATGAGTACACTTAAAAACTGGATCTCCAAGGTCAATATACAACTCTACAATAGAATAAATCAATTAATAAATAATTAAGATATACAAATCAACAGAATAATGAACAAAAAAAATAAAAACAAATAAGCACCTAATAATATAATATTGATTAGACCCATTAAAGGAATAAATATTTTAAACTAATTGAACTAAATTATTAAATTCATTTATTTTAGAGTCCCTCACACACAGACACACACATACACACATAGACACACACTCACACACACATATAAATAAATAAATAAATATAAATATATATATATATATATATATATATATATATATATATATATATATATATATATATATATAAGTATATAAATAAACAATATATATTGACAAACTTAAAGCTCAATAGAAACAAATTTAAACAATAAATTACTTTGCATAATTATTAATTTAAATTTGACTCTATTAAATTTATGACCCATAAATGTTAAAATTATATATGATATATCTTGTATATAATTTTAATTTAATCTTTAAAATTTTGACATCAGACTTCCAGAATATAAATTTCAAAAATTAGTAGATATTAATATATATGGTCACAATATTCTAATCATAACATTTATGGATATAATAAACTAAGTGTTAACTTAAATTTGTTTAATTATCATTCTAATACTTAGTTTTTTACTATTTATTACAGCTACATATGATTACAATAATATAAAAAAATTATACAGAAAGCTTTAAAAATTTTTGATTTTAAAATTCAATAAAATACACAAAATCATATATACATATTCAATAAAAAGAACACGCAGAAATAAATATATTCAATTTACAACAACATAATATTGACATCAACACATTACAAATAAATCTAAATTTAATTGCACAATAACACCATTTAAATACACCCAAAAAAGGTCATGGCTAAATGTATTTAAATAAGCTTTTCCATTGGTATTATTGTATTTATTATAAAGCCCAACAATTATAACAAAGTCATTAATAAATAATTAAAAAAAAATTAAAATTCAAGCGTAGATGGTAAGCGCTCACGCATTCACCTCCGGCTTCCCTTCTCTCTATCGCACTTCTCATTCTAGAAACTCCAGTTCAGATCTAACACCCCATCACCATTATCAACCAAGCTTTCCGTCTTCCCCCATTGAGTCCTTACCGTCGGCCAGAACCCACCGACTAAAGGGCCCAAACATTGAACATCGAAAACTCCCTACAAATCGTCGATCAGAAAGCTCTGGTTTATAACAAACAGAAAGCTTCGCGATCTATCTTCTCCGACTCTCATCTTCTACAATACTACCCTCCATAAACACAAAAATCAATCATTTATACTACCCAGTTCAAAATGCATACCGGAATTACCAAAACCAAAAACCCTAGCCTACAAATCGTCGACTTCTACTACACCGAACACCAAAGGCGAAATTCATACCACAGAGAGCAAGAATCAGCTACGATCGTCAGTATCAGTAAGGTAAAACACAATTTTAACAACTTCCGTTTTTGTTTTCAGACTTTAATTAAGAACTTTGTTGTTGTTATTGGTTTGATAGTTGTAATCCCCTGTAGCATGTTTAATTTTTGTATTTGAATCGTGATGACTAATGAGCATCATGAATCTACTTGTTCTTCATTTTGGAATACAAAAAGTATGAATGTGAAAGAAATTGTTATGTAGGTAAATCAGCTTAGCTTTTTTAGCTTATATTACCAGTGTGGAGTGGTGCTGATAGCCAATTCGTGTCAACTAATTTGTTATAAT